CTCTTTCCCATATACGGGAAAATAAGTCTCACTTCATTGTCCATTTTCCTCTATATTCTTTCCAGCATTCATAGTTTCCCATTGTTTCTTCGATTTACTCTTTCCTATGCTAAGTCAGCTCCAATTCTTTTGCTTTATAATCTTCATTACACGCTGTTTAAATATGCGGTCATTGGCTATGTCCAACATTGGTGCGTTCGTTACGTTCATGATATCTTCTGCTCTGATATACCTTCTTATACCAGAAAATCCCTTTCTCTATTTACTTCCTTTTTAACTTTTACTTGTTTTTTGTAAAATTTAGTTTTAGTTTCAATCTTATTTATATTTATTATGAAAATTGAATCATGGATGTTAATATGGTACATGTAAATATGTAAATTCCTGAATAAAAATAGTTGAATATGTGATTTCCTTCATATGAGTAATTACAAGAACAAAAAGAACGAAAATAACTCTTGAAGAGGAGAATAGAATGTCAACGTTTATGAAACTTCAAGATTGTTCCATCTTATGAACAACTAAAATATAGAAGTTACACACTTCAAGATCAAAGTTTGAACACATTACTGCTTCCAACAAAATGCTTTCGATCAAATAACATACGTGTAAGAAATTGTCAGATTTTTGCTCAATTTCGTACCAAAACATTATTTAACATGATCATAAATTTATATATATGAAAAAATATGTTACAGTACCAAATAGATATAAATTGAAATTCCTTTTCCTCGTATTATCCGTAAAAGGTGTTAATTTATTTGTTGCTCTTGAGTATGGAATGAAGTTATAGAAGGTATGAGAAGTTGTGAGAAATATACATGAGTTATAGAAACTGTAATAAATTGTTGTAGTTAACTCGAGAGTATTTTATTACATGTCTTTATAACATTAACGTCATTCATTAACTGATTAAGTAATGAATGCCGTAAATTAATTCTTGGAAGCGAAAATGCTGCTTACTAATAAATTTTTCGTAACTATATTTTGATACAATATTATGAAGTACACACTATCTATGTTAGAGATGTCTGTCAATCACAACAGTATTTGAAAGAGTGATTGAAATTCCTTTGATAATTTCTTATATTCCTTGTGTGTATAAGTGTCACTATAACAAACTGTTCACTGTGTAAACTTCCATTTAAAGTACTTTTACAAAATAATAGACACGTAGAAAAATAATGCGTAATATTAAAAATTATGATGTATGTACTACAGCACGCAAGAAATATTTCAATATAAATTGTTTGTACTTACAAAATACGTTTAACTTCCATGTATCTTCCACAGTACCACTTTGAACTTTAGAATTCTCTGCACGACAAGTAACAACTTTATCATGATCTAGTAAAGTTGGTTTCAGTATTAGTATGGAACTCGTCATATTACCATCTTGAGACACCTTTAACATGAAAAAGAGAATAGAGTGAAATGAACATCCCATGTGATATAATAACGTTAGGAAAATATCAAGAAGCAACATCTGATGTACACAAATAATCATATCTTATGCTCATAATACTGTTAAATATATATAATTTTTTATTTATTGTACGCACAATAGCATAAGTTAACATATTGAACTAATATTTAGTTATTCATTTATTAACACTTCGTTCACCTATGTATTAGCTTAATGTTTATTAATATACTTATTCACACTGAATCCGTCCTTCGCCTACCGAAGGACATATATAATTAACAGTTGTACCGCTTTCGGGTTTAAACAATTGTTAAGAGGCAGCGGAACCATTTTCGGATTGTACCATTGCTCTTACATGTTTCGTACTTCCAGCGTAATCGTAAATATTAGACATTTGAAACTTCGGAAAAATTTTATTGCAGATAAATATTTGTATTGTTCTACGTTTCCATTTCAAGATTATGTTGAGTAACATGATGGAATCATTAATTAAAGGAGCAGAACCATATATTATGTCGAATAAATTCATTTCTTGCCTTATTTCATATTCTGATGTGAAGATATTTGTCTTTTCGCAATGAAACAAGGGATACTATTATGCTAAAATAGATCGCATACTCCGCTCCATCTTTGCAAATGCAATTTTCAGTGAACATCTTTTTATATTTATGGTCGTGCAAGTAAATGTATAATCTTCGTATAGGGATCCGTATGGCTCTAGAAGAAATACACCATATGTGGATTTTAGAATGAAGAAAAATTAGACAAGTAACATCGGATGATAGACCAGGTTCTTCGTCTTGATATGATACTAACAGAATCCTATTTGTTGCAATATGGAGTACTAAACTAAAACCATAGGCTTTATAAATTGCGATGGCACAAGTATGTATGTAAATACAAATATATGTAATAATTCGACATTGTGTTAACTACCCAGATCCGATTCTGGTATTACATGTCGGTGAGAAGTTTACTAACTACTTACAAACAAAATTGTGCGCGAATAATGAATGTAATCTGCTTAATTTCCTCCACGAAATGCTAGTATTTTCCAGAACTACAATTATTCTTTATATACATTTGAACAAACAAACTTGAAACAGAGTGATTGCTCGCATTTCTGCCGTCTAACCCGGTATAAAGTACCATAATATAAGAAATGAGTCTACCTACCTCTTATCAAATATATGATGCCTCTAAAGCAATTATCACATATTCTTAGAAACTATTGCAGTATGGAATTTATCAGGATCGTATCGTGAAACGTAGGAGAATTGCTTGTTCTGCTATTAACTCTATGGGACTTAGGCATTCCTTATAATGCGTAGGGTATCTAAACTTAATAGGCTTACATAATGTAAGATAAGTTAAGTTGAATATCGGCAAGAGTCGTAGGACCGTTGCCCGCGCCTTCGTGAGGACCGATATGTAGACGTGGAAAACATTATATCGGCGAAATAACAACGGCCGACAAGCGGAAAAATATGAATAACGACAGCCGGACGAGCAGACACGTTATTTGTTAATCCAAATAAAGCGTTAAAGGAAGTGACTCAAGCCATTAATCGAAGCTTCCAGAACTTTCTAGTAATTCTATCATAGTAATAATAAATATATAATGGCAAATGTGTGAACGGGCACGCAACTGTTACACTCAGAAAACTAGCCGTCATATCACCGCAGTAGAATGCCTTATGCGGGCCACATCCGTTGATGAATTGAGAGAGTATAACGCGTGATGTGCAGCACGTAGCTTCAATCTCTGGCGAATACTATATCGCTAGGCACTTAATGATACCAGCAGTATAAATGTGTATAACAAATTATTAAATATATGCATAAAATTGTTAATTGATCGAACGATAATTTCATGGACATAAGTGATTAATTATAAGTGAATACTTCATTCCCGATCTCTTCATGAATTCGAATAGTACATATAAATCTGTTTCAAATTAAGACATATATCAAATCTTCTGATACACCTTTGACGTCATTTCTCGAAAAATTTATTCATGAAACAGTACATTGTTACACATTTGGTGATCCGATTTACTATATTAACATAAATTGTTCAAATTGTATCAATTGCTCATAATTATTTATATCCCTCTCTATCCTACCGATAAATAAATTTATATAAAACAGGTGAATAAAATCCACTGATTCATTCATCTGTTCACTGATGTGTTTACTTATACTGCAGGTTCATTAAGTAATTCACTATTATATCCCCTAATAATCAAAGTTTCTCATTAAGCAGACTTCATTCTATATGTAGCAGCCGGTCCCATAGTAAAGCGGAAAATAATACTAGTCCTTTATTTGCATTGAAGTGTAAATTAAATACAGTATTCATCGTTGTTATCGCATTTACATCATTCGAATGTCGTATTTGCAATATGGTCAGCTTCATGTAAAAGTATAAATTTGGTTCACTTTTACTACCGTTCATTATTTATTTTCTATCAAAGCTTCATATTATTAGTTTCACTCATTTTCACTCAAATCAATTTTAATGAAAATCATCCACTCAGTGATGCTGCATTTGTTGCAGAGGGATAATATTTCTTTCGGCAAGAATAGAAGACATTACGATGGTATAGAAAGGATATGAATTGCAGTAACTTCTAGTCACAAACCATTAGAGGTTGGTGCGGTCAAATTTATAATGCAAGGATGTGAAGATTTATCTGATCTAGGGGATGATTACGCTAATGAGGGAAAATACCAGTTTAAAAGTCCGTGATTCAGATCATAATTGGAAGCTTAAGCATCTGTTATGTTCGATGTTAAGTGCAAAAATTTAGTAGTTGGATAAATTTTCGGATACTAACATTGCAGTAATTTTCAACTAACTCGACGAGACAGCATCAATAAATAAACAGCAATCGATTTGGTGTCAAAATCAATAAGAATAAGTAAATATTCCTATGTACTATACTATAATCGTTTTTAAATAATCTTCGTTACATTCTAGGACCTGTATGCTCGACTGAAGGGACTGCTTAAGAAAATAGCAAAAAAATCTCGGTATAATAAAAATAGTATATTATTAAGAGTCGGCATAAATGGATATATAGGACTTACTCGTAATGTAATTAAAAATAATATTTCGCGACACCAGAACAGCGAGAATAATAAATGTGACTAAGTTGAAAGATTTTACTTTCGAAACTATCGAAACCATGCTATTCATTTTGAACAAAATAACCACTTCCCCTTCATGATCAAATGCATACTAAACTAAATGCACACTAAACGCACACGAACTAAATTTGTAGGTTTTCCAATTGCTTTATCATTCCACTGTCTTTGCTTTGTATTGACTAATGTCCTTTAAAAAAAATTCTTTCATGTGGAACAGGCAGTATCATAGTATTTACATAACATTTTACTGTCTTAAGTAAAGAAGCAAAATTTACTGTGTTTTCTAGAGAATAACGTATCTTTTGTTCCATCCATAAGTGGAAATTTATAAAATTTGTTAATTTCCACTTTTATACATGTTACAGTGCTATACGGGAAACTTGCCGCTTCTACCATTGTATTAAATAACTACCAGAAATTGCCATCATCGATATCCGTACTTTCCGAAGAACAAATATACATGCATGATATTTGAAGTGAACATAACCGTCCATCTGTAGGCCCGCAGCGTCCGTCATTCTCACCCTTATCACTAGATGGATTCCAACATCGAGGACTTTCCTCGCATGTCCTTGGAAAACCTCCAATTCCTATATGTATATAACTTCCCGAGCTTCCAATGTTATCCCAGTCTGCGCAGGGCATACTAGGGGCGCGTTCCCGATGAATCCAAAAGCAGGCCCTGGACAAAACCGCATCCCTTCCGCTTCCTCTCGTCGCATCTAGCTTCACCGCTACACCAAGACTACCAGTGGTCAGGCGACTTCAACGACCGTGGCGGGAGGACCCCCTACATTGAGTTTGGTTGGTGTGCTGCTTCAAGCTTACACTTATCTAGTGTGCCACCTCCGCGCGGGCGATGGGGATAAACACCCACACACCCCCCTATGGAGTGTTTGGCATACGCCTAACCAGCGCGAACCGAAAGTGCCAAAGAGCACAATCGGCCCTGCCAATCTATCTAACTGGTATGCTAACCCCAATCAACTCCCTTGGTGTTGGGCTGGGCCTTTCTAAATCCGTACTGCATCAGGAGGACAGCGCCCGGGCTGTAGGATGCGCAACTATCACGCCGGACTTCGAGAGCCCTCGCCTGCGATGTAGGCTCCAACCACTGCCAGCACGAGGCCAACCCTGCGACCGACGGGCGGACTGCCGTAGGATTAGACCCAGGGCTAAATCGGTCTCCCGTGGTACCGGTTATCACGGGCGTACCGGTCATCCCGTTCGTGGCGAACCACTACCGTTCTGAGGCTGCTACCCCACCTCGAAGTAGGTGCGCGTCAGCTAGGCACCGTGGGGCCGCCAGTCCCATACAACGGCCGACCAAGGTCGACCGTAGGCCCTGCGGGTGGAGGACACCCTACAGGCTCAAAATTATTAACATGTATATAAATAGAAGCAAAGAAATCTACAACATCTTTACTATTTACACTCTATTGTTATACTTTTCGCAAGTTTGATACAATTCGCGTTAATAATTTGTGATCAAGTTACTGGAGAGCAAAGAGAAATAATTTCAGTGTTGAAAGAACCTTTCCTAGTATATCTAGTACCTTAGCCTCTAACATTCCAAAACTAGTTTACAATGTACGACAAATCTAAGGCCGTGGTTTACCTTTGTCTTCTTAATCACTGTAGTATGCTACAAATTGAATTTCGACGAATTTCCTCTTCGATCACCTCAGAAATTAATTTATGTTCATATAATTATAGAATTGATTGTAACTGAAATCATTTGCTTCATGCCTATGTACATCTATATCAAAATATACAACTGTGAGATGGTATTCTTCGTGAATATGACGAAACTGATTTAAATCGATTATAGAGTGTTTAACAACTTAACATAAGCCATAAGCATAATGTTGTGTGATTTCGATCCGACACTCATATTATAGATAGTGTATTGTTGCCAGCGTATCAAAAGCGCAGTATCTGCGATTTCATTTTCAACTTGATATTCTTTAAACCCAAAAAAAGAGAAAGAAAACATATCGTTGGCTAGGAATTTTCCCATCTAGGTAATTCCTGATGTTAATTTGAAATCATTACTTATATGACATGGATAATTGGTTCCAAACGGTTCCCATTAACAATTGTACCCATGTGAGTTATTATGCAAACTTTGATAATACTTTTCAATTCTTTGCCAACGTGTACCTCATTTCATATTCTATACCTTGCCAGATTATAAGCGTTTTTCTATTTAGGCGTGTATATTATGGTACCAAAAGCTTGATGCAACCTATCAACTATCTGTTTTCTATAATGAATGGTTATAGATTATTGATAACCGCTGTTAAAGTAAAGTCATTAGTGTAGGATACTATTTGAAGAATGAAATCGCGAATCAGCTAGTGCCGATTTGAGATTTCCTATTTTTGAAAAAACAAATTATGTACCAATCGCTGACCTATACGTGACATCTCTCTGTAAGCAAATCGAAACAGATATCGTTATGAAAGGCTATTTTTAGTAGAAAAGCTATGTTGAATGGTCTCTATGAGAAGGTGAAACACAGGTCACCGAAATCGTCGCGGGGAGCTATTCACGAATCTGGAAAATGACGTGCTTCTTATGACAGCAAATCGCTAATGGACTGAATTGAAAGAAGCACGCCATCGAGATTTGCAAAAATCATTAGAACAGGACCATTGATGACTCAAGCAGAGGCCTGTGTGAGCAAGCAGTGAAGAGTCCCCATAGAATTAAATTGTAACCAGCACGGGCGGGAGGCATTCGGTGTTGGAGGGAGTCGAAATGGAGCGTGTGTCATAGCTACGTGATTTTAGTGCTCTTTTCTTGTGATAAATAAGCTTTCCGAGCTTAATACTCGTATTATTCTCTTCATTTTGTTCTGCCCGATTTCGGTGTCTCGAAGCCTTTTGCGCAGACCCATTATTCCTTCGTATAAACAAGAAACATGTAAATATTTAATTCCACTGCTAAAGACAATATGTAATATATTGCTAAAGACAATGAAACCTGTTTTTTGTGTCCCACGTTAATTTTATTCTTGTTCTCATTTTCAACTACAACTTTAAGTGAACGAAGTAGAACGATTCAATATTTTAAATGTAACCAAGACAAAAGTGACAGAATTTAGCTTCGATGTATGGGACTCCCGATTGAACTATGTGCATGTAAGGACAGATGCATGGCAGGATAAACGAAAGATTCAGAGGAAATAATGAAAGTTAAATTGACAAGGAGAAAAGAAGTATAGTAGTATCAGTGACGCAGGATATTGAAATTGAAAGGAGCGGCCAGATATGAAAGCTGGAGAAGTTACGTAGAAAATTACGGCAATATGAAAAAAAATGTTGGTGAATAATGCAAATAAGAAAGGAATGACTGAAGGAAAGGGAAGAGGAACACCTATTGCTGTTGGGGGGGGGGGCTTTATTATATGAGTAGAAGGGGAAGGGGTATTACAGTAGGAGGATATCAAAAGATATGACAATCAATGCCGAAAAAATAAAGTTAATAGAACAGATTAAGGAAAAAGTGTGGGTGATACTATGTGGCTGTTTCGAATAGGGAGCAAGATATATGCTATAAAATAGCGAACGAAGTGGTGAATTCGAAGGTGGATGCAGCTGCTGGTTCTGATGGAAATAAAAATGATGCATAGGTGCTTATACAGAAAATGCGTTATGAGTATTTGACTATTAAGGAAATTCAATTGATTCAATTGATTCACACAGCATTTCATTTACTTCACTTATCTCATCATTCGTCTACTTTGTCTGACTTACTTTCGGCTTAGTACATTTTTATTTTATAATGCATGAATTACTTGCCAATGTTGTACAGTACGAAATAATAATTGGGATCATATCTTCTTAAGAAATTTGAGATTTTTAAGGTTAATGCTAACTAGGCATTCAATGCAATTTACGAGTCATCCTAAGCGAAGTGAAACCTGGATTAAATAATGAAATAGATAAATTCATGCTCAAATAAGTGTCAATGTATGAATGAAGACATTTGAGAGCTTCAGACGTATGTATAGGTGTGAATTTTTTACAAATACTGGGCATTTCTAAATGTTGAACCGCGTCATCCGTTCATTTATTCCAGTTCATGTATCTTTCCAGAAAATCTTTCACTTTATTTATTTACTAGAATTTTGATCATGTTATCGCATCAAAGATCATTTCAGCATTGTAATGTTTCATTCGCCAGGTCACAAATTTACGATTTCAATAATGTAATTGAAAATATCAATTTTATAACATAACGAACAAGGAATATGTATCATGCAAACTATAATATTGGTTATATCGTACGCCTGCTACATGTTGGTTTAGTCATTTCTCAATAGTACTTAATCAGTGTATTTTATGAATGCATTAAGGAACATCAACAAATCAATTCATATCTCAATGGTACTTGGTCAGTGTATTTTATGAATGCATTAAAGAACACCAACAAATCAATTCCGTGCGACAAGTAATTTCGTCGCCTGTTGATAGCATAACAGCATCCTTAGGATTTGATACGTACTGGCATTAATAAATATGCCATTGGATTGTACCATTCAAAAGATGTTCCATTTGCAAATTTTGGTAATGCTCAGTGTTTTACTTATATTAATCGCGTAATACATTATTTGCTACACCTGGCTGAGCTTATTTAATTTCGGAGACGTACCATATCTCATGCTACCTTGTTTACTCTTTTACAAAATTAACAAGATCAGAATATATTTCCTTATTCCCATAAATAAAATTTGAGGTATTATATAGTCTGTAACAGATGTTTCCAAGATGTTCAGAGAAAAGTATAATTTGCTGGGTAGATAACGTTATACTATGGAACGATAATTATACCTAATATGAAAACTCCACAAACGTAGATAAAATTAATCTAATTCATTTTAAGTTACACCACAAGGTACAAGTGTCTCTTGCTCCTTCATATATATAAAGTGTGTCTAGTGACTGAATGGTTCTGCAAAATTGAATATCATGTATTATCGTGTAAAATGATATTTTCCGAAAGTACAGCGGTGCTGCTACAAAGCAGAGTTGCATTCATTTTTAAATGGTCTGTTATGATTTGCTTGTAGTAAACAGGTTTCTTGTGATAGCTTATACAAGTAGATATAAGTATAGACTAGTGAAAAAATTAGAACATTGTGAGTTACTTCATGATACATATATTGTCTATATTAATGTCAATATTTAATGGAAAAGGTGAAGTGCATCGCGGGTACATGTGTGTGTGAATGTGTGTTTGCGCGCGTGTGCGTGCATGCGAATGCTCATTCGTATATTTTCATGAAATTCTTATGTTTTGGGTTCTGTCATTCTTCATAAACTCTATAAGGAAATTATTGTACTGCGAATTAACTACAATTACATTGAAGATATATATGCTGTTCAAGAGTGTTATTAAATGAGAATTTCGAAGAAGTCGCCGAATATGTAATCATACTTGCACAAAAGAAGTTATAATCATCAGAATGTCGATATATGTTACGAATCATACTACACAATTCAAGTTTTGGTTGTGAACTGTGTACCGTTACAATTGCTTATTTAATAAAATGTGCAATCAAGTACCAAAAATTTACATGGTATATAATATTCAACAAGATTACCTTTTCCGTGTAATTTGTCAGTTTCCTTCCATCCATGTACCAAGACAATTTTGCTGGAGGTCTTGATCCAACAGTCATACAATTAATATCATATTTTCGACCAGCACTAAGAGGTGAGTGTTCGCTGCTTAGTATTGTTACAGACAATGGTTTCACTGAAAAGCATAGAAAGATACAATATAGGTATGCATTTCTTATATATGGTGATTTAAATATAAGCTAACAGAGTATTTAATTTACAACGTTCTTGACTCTAGGTTAATTAACTATTAAAAAATAGATAGATTATGGTGTTAGAGCTATCAAATAGGACACTAATTATCATAGTAGAACAAAGATATAGACACGAATAACTTATGACAATGTGTTTAAGTAACAAGGCGAAGAGACATATCTGCAATACTTTACTCCAATACTATGACAAATTCTGAATATTATACGATCTGTACACACATATCTCACTTCAGCAGATGTTTCACGAATATCATCATTTAAGTTCATGCTCCGACTAACGTTGAGGTACCGAGTAACTATGAATTACCTCAACAAAAGTTAGTTTATTATCTTGACCTTGAGCATAATGCCTTGGCTCTAAAGAAAAGGATCTCATCTTACAAATCAATTACTCTGTATATACATACATACATACATACATACATACATACATACATACATATATCATTATATATATATACCATTATACTCGTTTTTTTTCGAAATAACACATAAATTAATTAATGCACCTAAATGTACAGTAGTATTGAATGAGACATAATGATATGATCCTTATTATACGATTAATAGTAATATCTTACAATGCCACAGGCTTCATAAAAGATTTCATCTGAAATTATATAGCACATGATGTTATGAAGCTATAGAATTCCTTAGCGACTCCATTTACTGTTCAACGAAAAGGAATTTTCCGATGAAATGTAAAATGAATTACATTAAACTGTAGCTCTTTTCAAATGTCACGATAGAGGATTTCTGTTGACATCGATAGTGCAATATCAGGTGGGCGAAATTATACACATGTACATTATAACTAATTCGCATAGTGCACAGCTTATTGCTATCTAATTTTTTCTCTTTGATTTTCAATCAAATGTCATTAATAATGTAGTATCCCGAAGTCCGATACCTTCAGACGTTCCACAGGGTTCGACAGTTATTCCTTTTGTGCAATCCTTTCATTGATCACATCAATCTGTCCTTGATCAAAATAGCAAATAATTCGTTACATTAGTAACAAACATATCTCCAAAACTGAAAATGCACCACTACGAAAACTGAATTTAACGAAATGAAGATAATATGAAGAATTGCAGTAACATCAAATTTCTTTTAATTGTCGACACATATGTCATGTCATTCATAGCAGTAACCACATTTTCTGCGATAAGGAGTAGCTACCAAATAGAATTAAATTATATCTTGAGAATGTTTGCACTAAAGGTAACCGGTATACCCAATTACATCGTAAATCACATTACAAGTTAAAGTAAGCTTTATTTTTATATTTTGTATTCTCATAGCTTTTCGGAATTAAAGTATTAAAACGCCATGACTTCGTACCTTGTCATAAGAGGGTGTAAGTCAAATTTAAGGCTCATGTTTCGATAACGTCATGTTCTGAAAACACGCTTTGACAGTGTATGTGATTTGAATGGAAGGATACTAGGAGGAAAATATATGAATCATATTCTAGCTGCTGTAATACTCTAGAGCCGTATATATATAGCAACATTAACAAACTGTAAGTCAGGAACTCCGGAAAATTCGTATTCGAAACAAAATCAATAGAAACCGAAGAATTTGTCCGCGTAATCATGTCAAGGATCTTCGGATAATTTGTCGGTATACCGGTTGCAAAAGTCACGGTATATGAGTTTGTAGCACACTCGGTGTTAGTCGCGCACCTTTGGCCAATCACTATAGTCCGCTACTTCGTCTGTCATAAACCCGAAACAAACTCCATGGAATTTTCATACTGAGGCAATTGACCCCAAATGTATCCCACGTTTACCACTGGTAAATACATAACATATTGTAACAGTTATTCGCCATCAATCATTCCTACACCATGACAGTGCCATTTCGATTTATCAATTATTGATTATTTATTTATGTACATTTTACTGTGGTGTTAGGTATTGTATATAGAAGCTTGAAAGTAGCAAAGCTTGAAGAAATTGCAGACAATAGGAAACTGGTGTTTATCGAACAAAATTTGTAAAAGAAAGTTTCTGGAACCAGTAGATAATATTACAGGTAAATTTTCATGCTCATAATTCTATTACTTCTTGCCTTTTCTTCTCTCTTTCTATTATTTTATTTTTGTTTACTTTCGGTGCGTTTGAAAATAAGCATGAAGGAAATTTATATTCCATGTCTTGCTCGACTTATTCGAGCATATATTCTATTAAACCTTGAAGCGTTTACGTAGCAAATACATGAAATCCTTCTACTGCCACGAATAAACGGATAATGGAAGGAGAGAACCGGATTCCAGTAATGTGAGGAAACTGTTTTCTACCTGATTCTAGATAATGTCATGACAGTCTTTGGGAGCAACACAAAGGCGTTACAATTAATGGTGATGGGATGGATGTAAGAAATTTGTTATGTGGCCTGAATGGGCCTAGATGAAACGGGAAAGCTCTCCCACTGTGGAAGAGTACACAAAAATCCACGGTTACTTGTAGTGAAGAGTTAGTCTGTCGGACGTACCCACTCAATAATTTGAAGAATGAATTCATTAACCTCCATCGGCATACGTTACGTTTTATTTTAAACGCGCTTTAATTTTTACTGGTCTCCAATCCCAATTTAACATTTAGCTACCGTGACATGATCTGGGGGTCTGTTGCATTTAATCGTGAAGTTTTGAATTATTTCGAGCTAGAAGACGAACATTTTCAAAAAATGGAGTTGGTACAGAGAAGAAGAACACAGCAACGAATCGCATTCACAATGGCACTGAAAAATTTTCTCGGGCTCCTAAACGGAAATGCTACGAACAACTCAAATTAGACAGCGGTATAAAATATTTCAGAAATGGAAATGCAAGGTATAGGATTGACACTTGTCGGAACTATAGAAGCAATGCTGAGTGGTCCTCGAGCAAGAAATGGAGAAATCGGTGAGGAATATTGCAATGCCACTAAGTACACAGTGAAAACAAAGTTCACATATGCGCACTTGCGTACACAATTTGACAGGTTATTATGAACATGTTATACACAGTGAAGATCGATGGCAGCGTAAGTTGCCTACGATAGAATTGATTAAGTTCACCGGAGAAATACGCGATAGACTACCTTTTTGGGGTTTGTTTAAAAGGATGTACGAAGACCCCAACCTGAACCGTGAAGATAAGTTCCAGTTTTTGCGCAAGCGGTGGTGTCAGACTCTCGTGCAGCACAATTTGTAAGAAGCTATCCACCGACAGCAGATAATTGCGATAAAGTTATTCGTAGCCCAAAGAAACAATTTAGTAAGGAAAGCATAAAGGTTACCTGGCTTCTTTAATGAAATTCATGGAAGAATTGCAGAATAATATAAGAATTTCAATGGCTTTGAAGGGTTTTTGGTTGAGATTTTCTCATGAAGAAATAAAGAGACCAAGAAGGAGTAAAGCGAGCAGCGAGATTCCGAGTGCGACAAGTTTGCTTACAACAAAATGCAAAGAAAATTTATGCGTGCTTTGTAATCAGAAAAACGTCGAGCTGATTTCTGGAAATGTGCGATGATTAAGGAGATTGAGCTATTAGTTATTTGGCGGTATGAATTATACCATAACATGGCGTGCAAAATATCGAGTACGGATATAAAGCATGGGTAATCATTTTGTCAGTAACTTTGCTGCCTCCGACCAATATATTACTTGTGAAAGTGTTCCCTTGGTTAAGCAGGATAAATGGCGTGAAGAGCTAATAGTAATATCCATTTATCCGAATTGAGTAGCAACGAACGTGTCATCTGTATACTCGTTGAAGCGGATATCGCAGGTCAAATTTTTACCAGATGACACCGAGTATTGTAGTTCGGATTAGTAGCTATCGAAATACGTCTAGTCTGGGGTATGAACACACCCGGTTTGATAATTACAGCAATACCAGTGTTTGTGAGGGATGACAACGTAGCCCATTTATTATCAGTCGATATCCTAGGGATCAAAGATCCTACTTACACTGGAACACAGAGGGAGCAGGAAAAGGGTTTGTACAGAAAGTTTTTACAATCGGTAGTACTAAACGCAGCCGGCGGATGAAAAGTAGAATTACCGTGGATGGAAAATCATCCGGTTTTTGATGATTCTGAAGCTTTTGCCATTCAGCGATTTCACTGCACGATAAATCAATTGCAGCTGATAGGCGAATTTCAAGATTACATAACAGTATTTATGCAATGGATAAGTAAAGGCATCATTGAGTACGTGCCCAAGAAGGTGATGGGTCTATGGAGGTATTACTTAACGGACAGAGCCAACATTGAAGAAGTGATTATAGCGGTAATTAGGGCCCGTTTTCAACATCTCGGCCAAGGTCCAGACCCCACATTGAATGAGTGTCTCCAAAAGCACTCTAACCTCATCGAGTTGGTAACGACAATTTTGTTATGCTTTAGACAATGTAGTACCGGGATTATTCAGGATGTAATGAAAACATTCCTACAAATAGGTTTATAAGTGAAGGATGGGAACCTTTTATGTCTTCTATGGGTAGATGCGAAGGACAGAACTGTACTCTTGAGGCATGAGTAGTGTTTGGCGTCACCTTCGGTAGATTTATCCCAAGAACCATAATTGATATGCACTTAGGATAAATTTCAGAATCGATTAAACGTAGTTCAAATATTTTATTCAACCGTGTTAATAGTGTCAAATAACTTCGAAGCATTTATGTTGATAGGTTTGTGATTAGCGTAGATTTTACAGACTAGTTACACAAATTTATACAGCGATGATAACAGTCATGAGAAACAAGCTGCTGCGTTAGGCAATATATGGGATAAATAGAACGACAGTCTCTCCATTATTATATCGAGGCTAGATAAACTTGGTTTTGAGAAGACAACGGAACAACGGATTCTGTCTTTTGCACACAAACTATTCGATCCGCTAGTTGTTGCTTGCCTCGTGGTTCCTGCG